TAACAGGTCCATAGTCTCGATTCCTAGAACGTTAAGTTCAGCGCTGCTCGAGATGGAAATGCAACCAGTTTTGGTAACATTTCCGATGGTGATCTCAGTCTGGAACTCGGCGAGAAGGTTGAGGTTGCTACCAGAAGCTGTGATATTTGGCCGATCATCTTATCAGGGCCATTATTGAGTTAATCCAAGTTGAAGCTCACCGCCATAAGAGAAGTTCGTGAAAAAATGGCTGGAAGAATTCAAGACCATTTGCTGAGGAAATTTTGGAAAATTTTCGGAAATATTTCTGATGAATTCTTTAAACAACTCTGGATGAATTTCAGAACAAATTCCAGGGAAAACATATTAGGAATTTCACGATGGTTTTTTCAACCATTTTGCAGGAATAATGCCTGGATGAATTCTTGAAAGATTTTCTGCAGGAGGAATTTACGATGTTTCCCTTACAAAATTCTTAAAGAGGTTCCAAGGGGAATTCTTGGAGGAATGCTATTTGGGATTCCAAGAGTTATTCCTTAGCATTTTGTGAGGTATTCTTGGAGTATGTTTTAAGAGAATAATCTGAATGATTGGTGAACGGATTGGAACGATGGTGATTGACAATAATCAAACTGCTTATCGACACAAACCGCAAATCGAACAGGTCCATAGTCTCGATTCCTAGAACGGTGAATTCAGATGAAAATGCGACCAGTTTTGGTAACATTTCCGATGGTGATTTCAGTCCGGAACTCGGCGAGAAGGTTGAGGTTGCTACCAGAAGCTGTGATATTTGGCCGATCATCTTATCAGTGCCATTATTGAGTTAATCCAAGTTGAAGCTCACCGCCATAAGAGAAGTTCGTGAAAAAATGGCTGGAAGAATTCAAGACCATTTGCTGAGGAAATTTTGGAAAATTTTCGGAAATATTTCTGATGAATTCTTTAAACAACTCTGGATGAATTTCAGAACAAATTCCAGGGAAAAATTTTTAGGAATTTCACGATGGTTTTTTCAACCATTTTGCAGGAATAATGCCTGGATGAATTCTTGAAAGATTTTCTGTAGGAGGAATTTAAGATGTTTCCCTAACAAAATTCTTTAAGAGGTTCCAAGGAGAATTCTTGGAGGAATGCTATTTGGGATTCCAAGAGTTATTCCTTAGCATTTTGTGAGGTATTCTTGGAGTATGTTTTAAGAGAATAATCTGAATGATTGGTGAACGGATTGGAACGATGGTGATTGACAATAATCAAACTGCTTATCGACACAAACCGCAAATCGAACAGGTCCATAGTCTCGATTCCTAGAACGGTGAATTCAGATGAAAATGCGACCAGTTTTGGTAACATTTCCGATGGTGATTTCAGTCCGGAACTCGGCGAGAAGGTTGAGGTTGCTACCAGAAGCTGTGATATTTGGCCGATCATCTTATCAGTGCCATTATTGAGTTAATCCAAGTTGAAGCTCACCGCCATAAGAGAAGTTCGTGAAAAAATGGCTGGAAGAATTCAAGACCATTTGCTGAGGAAATTTTGGAAAATTTTCGGAAATATTTCTGATGAATTCTTTAAACAACTCTGGATGAATTTCAGAACAAATTCCAGGGAAAAATTTTTAGGAATTTCACGATGGTTTTTTCAACCATTTTGCAGGAATAATGCCTGGATGAATTCTTGAAAGATTTTCTGTAGGAGGAATTTAAGATGTTTCCCTAACAAAATTCTTTAAGAGGTTCCAAGGAGAATTCTTGGAGGAATGCTATTTGGGATTCCAAGAGTTATTCCTTAGCATTTTGTGAGGTATTCTTGGAGTATGTTTTAAGAGAATAATCTGAATGATTGGTGAACGGATTGGAACGATGGTGAACGACATTAATCAAGCTGCTTATCGGCACAGACCGCAAATCGAACAGGTCCATAGCCTCGATTCCTAGAATGGTGAGTTCAGATGAAATTACGACCAGTCTTGGTAACATTTCCGATGGTGATCTTAGTCTGGAACTCAGTAAGAAGGTTGAGGTTGCCACCAGAGGATGTGAAATTTGGCCGATCATCTTATCAGGGTCATTATTTAGTTAATCCAAGTTGAAGCTCACCGCCATAAGAGAAGTTCGTGAAAAAATGGCTGGAAGAATTTAAGACTTTAAGAATTTTGGAAAATTTTCGAAAAAAATTCTAATTAATTCTTTAAACAATTCTGGATGAATTTAAGCACAAATTCCAGGGAAACATATTAGGAATTTCACGATGGTTTTTTTTTCTACCATTTTGCAGGAGGAATGCCTGGATGAATTCTTGGAAGATTTCGTGCAGGAGGAATTTAAGATGTTTCCCTAACAAAATTTTTAAAGAGGTTCCAAGGGAAATTCTTGGAGGAATGCTGTTCGGAATTCCAAGAGTTATTCCTTAGCATTTTCTGAGGTATTCTAGGGGTAGGTTTTAAGAGAAGAATCTGAAGAATTTATGAATAATTTTAGGAGGAAGTCCAGATAAGCTCCTGGAATTGAAGCGATTTGAATGGAGAGAGTGAAGATGTCAACTCCCTGTTGCTAACATTTCGTGGATAAAGAGCGGGCTCTTCTCCCCATTCATAGGGACATCTTTCTGTTGGATGACTCGTTTTCTGACCAATTGACTGATCAAGTTGTTGGAAGGAGATTCTTAACTGTCCCAAGGAAATTCATAGGCAAATTGCCTATCAATTCATCCATTTGTTTTGGCCCTTCATATAGAGATTTGCTGATGACAATCAGAGGTTATTAAGCTTGATCAAGTTCAACGGTGAGAAGGTTACACGACTATCGGACTAGTTTCCGTGCTACAATGAGTGGTAGACCACTATCAGCATCAATTACAGATAAACTCCTGGAAGAACTCTAGTGCTGTTCCAGGTACAATTCCACTGGGAGCTCCAGGATTTCTGTAAGAATTGCAAGTACAATTACAGAAAGATGTCCACAGAATTTCTAACACAAATGCTAGAGAAATCAGAAAGACTTTCACCATACCTTATATTATTAGGAATTCAACTGAGATTCTACAGGGAATTTCGGGATGAATTCTAAGATATATTTCAAGATAATTCTAGAATTGGAAGAGTTTTAGGAAGGAGTTGTGGAATTACTGTAGAATTCCTGAAAATTTTCTCGAAGGGATTTCTCCAATTATTTGATTATTTCTTGAGGTAACTCAGAGAAATTACAGGAAGAATTTCAATACTATTATATAAGAAACTACAGATTGAATGTGTGATAGAAATCCATGAACTCTTTTAACACTTATTCAAGCCTCCACTGTTCGGTAAATTATGAACTATGGAACTGTTCGGTAAATGGTTAACAATTAAAAAACTCGAAAATTAGTAAATTGATTCCGAACTTGTCCAGGCTTTGTTCAGTCAACGTCATTTAATGATAAAATCATGTACTTCTTAATTTTATTTATATATCACGAGTAATGGTATTTGGAAAACTATATTAACCTGTTCAGCTGTTCAAAAACCAGCTTAAATGCTACTGACTTCGGTGATCTAAATTCAGTGTGTACACGCAAACCAAAAATCTATTACAATCAATATGAACATCGCAGCGAATGTTAGAAGTTGACCTTGCAGGTGATGTAATGGTTTTTTGCCTTTTTTATTTCGTGTTCTGTCTGTGCTTTCACCTACACAAGCAAGCATTTGCCTTGATTTTTATGTATAACATGGTAGAACGACGCACACACTTGCCTCGAATTTCTCCAGCAGAAAAAGCATACGAAGTCGAGTGTAAGAGGAAATGAGCGCTTCTTGTTTGCTTTTAGGCTATCCTTATTCAGAGGCATGGAGAGAACAGTGGAGAAAGCACAGGTCTGATAACCACAACGTTCGTTGTTCGAGTCCAGTCGGCAACCTTTTTCCTATTTTTTTCGACATAATTAATTTACCTCACTAATACACTCTACATTTTTCGGTCTCCAATTTTCTTGCATTGGACCGCAGCTAGGTATATCGCATCCTCGGTTCATGCGGTCTCCACTAACATCCTCTGATGATGAATCCCACATAATTGTAAGCGAATCTTACATCCACCGGTTGGGTGTAAGATATGAAGAAGAAATTTTTGGGAGGGGTTCCTTCTAAGGAATTCCAAAAAGCGCTTCTGATTCAATTTTGATAAGGAAATCCTGGGTGCATTTATGGAGCAGGAATTCCAAACGATTCTCAACGAAAATTTCAAAAATTCCTGTTAAAATACCTAGAAAAATTTTCAAAGGTATCCGGAATATTTCTTGAGGAATTTAAGCGGGATTTTTAGAGGAAACTCAAGAGAGATTTTTTGGAATCAAGGAAGAATTCCAGTGTGGAATTTCTGGTAAATTTTCAGTAGCAGTTCCAGCATAACTTCTACGTGAATTCTAGAACAAATAGAGTAATGTCAACCGGTGGAAACTAACGATTTTAAATTGGCTCACTACTTGCCTAGCCTGTTGGTCCCAAGTACATCTATAAGCGTACCCCATTCTAGTCAAAATTCTAGTACTATACTCATTGGCGTAGCTAATGGTGGTGCCAGGGGGGCCAGGCCCCCTCCAGAATTATCTATAGGCCCCCTCCAGAATTATCTAGGTCCCCTCCAGATAAATTGTCTAGCTACGCCAACGACTATGCTATGTTTGTTTTAAATCACTATAAAAGTTTGATAGATAAAATGAGGGGTTCGTGGATTTTCCTATGTTTCGAGGAGTGCATCGATTAGCTTGGGACCGAAGATAGTACCAGAGCTGAGCCAAAAAGTTGAGCACGTTTCTTCGGGACCTTCTGGTCTTAAAGTTATCTCTATGGTAATGTTGTGATCTACAGAAAATTGAGGTAAAATCTCATTGGAATTTCGGAAGGAAGGAAGGCCGAATTTAGCACAAATGTGGAAGATTGCCCATAACAAACAATGATGCAAATTGTTATGCTTATCGGAATAGGTTTTCGCAATGAGGAAAGATCAAACGAAATTTACAGTCTAATCTAGGAAATTACTTACCCTCGTTGTGCAGCTGAATCTGCCCGGACTGCAGCAGACTGACCAGCACGTCCTGAGGTAGATTAGCCAAGGCCGCTGCCGGATAGATTACATTGCTTGTCACTTGAGCTTGCTGTTGCTGATGTTGTTGATGATGTTGAGCCGATTTTGATGATGATTGTTGTTGTTGTTGTTGTTGTTGTTGTTGTTGTTGTTGTTGCTGCTGCTGATGTTGTTGTTGTTGTTGTTGCTGTTGTTGAATTTGGTGCTGGAGAGCCTGCTGCTGTTGTTTGATTTGCTGCTGGAGGACGGACAGCGTGTTGCTATTCGCAGCTGCCTGTGCCGCTGCCGACGATGCTGCTGCTGCTGCTGCTGCTGAAGTTGACGTACTAGAAGACGACGTTTGTGGCGCTATACTAACACTGTGATTATTACTATTAATGATTGGATCATTAGGTATTTTACTATTACTACAACTAGGTCCAGGAGGCGAATCGGGAGGCGAGTAGTCCTCGGTATCGCTGCCGGACGTCATCGGTGAACGATCATCCTGAAAGAGACAAAGGCGAACAAACGCCACAAGAAGGGGATTAGTGCGAGATCAATTTGTCACGTAACGTGGTGATGGAATTACACAATTTTACGGCGATGAAAAACCATCGACATGGGGGATTAGCGTGTGCCGAAAGTGGATAAATTGTTTTTATCCAATTCCGGCGATGAGACGACCGACGTATGTGCGCCATATTGGTCCATTTCATTGAGCGACGACACTTTAAGCTAATAATATGTACGAGTTGGCCATAATAGTCGGAATGGTATAAAAAAGCGGTATGCTTAAAACTGCAGCAAGAAAAAAGTATATCACTGCACATTATGCGTTCCGCCACAAGATGGAGTGCAGCGCTCCAACAACGGTAAGGTATTTCATTAATAAAATATTCCACCCTGATTTGGTAATCCCAGGTAAGCGATAGGATCCGCAGTGATCGAAGATAAGTTTTTGTTACTTGCTTATGCTTGGTGCCGTATGGTCCGGATCTGTTGCCGCAGGTTTGGATCGGAACGGCCAATCCTTCTACATGCTGGCGATTGTATTTATTAATGAAGCGAAAAATTATGACGCAAATGCTCAACTTTATTAGTCGAATGAGTCTTCTTTCCGGGAATGGGAAATGGTGACAATGCTCGGTGAAGATGTAGCCGGAGTGATAGCGTGCAGGGTTGCCAGGTTTTCTTGAATAGTAGTAGCTTATGATCAAGACTTTACCTTTTGTATTCTTATTTCACCACTATTTTACAATCGGTCCAATATCAAAAGTTCTAAACTTCATTAACAACCTTTCTGAACACCCACACATTCTGTCAACCCTTCCGCTTCTTTGTGTCACATATCGTTATCATCATTATCATCGGCCGTGTGTGTGCTGTAGTTGCTGCTTGCATCCTGCAGCATTGGCATGCAGCGGGACACCATAATCATCACCAACCGATGCACATTGGGATCTCACCTGCTTTGCATCACACTTTGGCAAAGCGAGAAGACGTGCGCAGGGTTCGTCCGTTCGTTCGCTGGTTGATCCTCTCGATATGGCGGACGGTCGGTCGTTTGCTCTCGGAATGATCGAAAATGGACATTGGCAGCAAGCTGCTGCGGCTGCAGTCCATCAGTCTAGCAGTGACGACGATACACACCGGGGTCGACCCACGACGAGGTGATGCGGTGACAAACGAGATATTCTCTATTTTTATGCTGCCATATGATGACAGCAGTGGAGCGCGCGGAGAAGGTGATCCTAATTTGGATGACGGTAGCAGATCGGTTTTTTTTCACTCTCTGTTGTTCAGCTCCTCCATGTTTGAGCGGTCCCCGCAAAAGGAATTGGAAAACATCATGTTTCGAGATGTCGGCAGGTGGAAATTGTCAGGTACAGCTCAGGAGGGGGAGGTACAGGGTAGAGGTGCTCTGATAAGGCTCAAGGAACGCGGTTTGAAGACTTGATTTTCCATAATTTCCACAAAGACAAATTACAGATGCAGAAATTTTCTCGTTCGATGCTTGCGCTGGAGCGAGGAGCCGTTTTCCAGGTAAGTGAGTTTCATTGAGTACGGTGAACAAAAAGCTACACTCAACCGAAGGCTGAATGCTATCAGATTAGGTGAAGGAGACGCATTAGTAGCCGGTGATAGACGAAAAAAAAAAAATCTAAAGCGTGAGTAGAATAGTGTTTGACTTTTCGTCATACGGAGATAAACATTCTCAAATACAAGATTTTTCCACATTGTCTACCAGTAGAAGAAATGAAACAAAGATTTCTTACAGTGTTCAATCGAATTCATCACAAGCACTCCTTCAATTGTCACATGGGATGATCTTTGCTACAACCCATCCATCAACCCAATCAACAAGATGGGGTGCAGCTGCTACTGCAATACACAGCATCAATCGCATAAATTAACAACACTAGCTAGACAAACTATTGCCACTACGTCTGGGGTCCTCGGCATCCAGACGAACGCGTTCACAGGTCGTATCAAAGGGGCTCAAAACTCATTTGACACATTTTACGTCAGTTTTTGCACTGTGACGAAAAAAAATATTATTGCACATTTGGGAAGTGCGTTGAACTTCAAATTGGAATTGAGTAGCTCAAAACGGGGCAAGGTCATGTAAATTTCACACCGCTGTACTCTAACGGAACTATCAGCTTTATACTTTCATCTCCTCATCTATCGTATAAAAATTACCACTTTAGTCTGTTATTTGAAATTAGCATCTTCAACTATGTAAATCGTTAACTTCACGCAGAAGTAACAAATAGTTTAAGTCATGTAAATTAATTGCTTTGAACTTCTTAAATCAGAATCGCGTAATATAAAGATGATGATACTCATAATATTAGTCAAGGGGGAAGACAGTAAGAAATTCAGAGCAATCTAGAGTAACTCTGAGGAATTCACTTGCTCTCTGATGAACGATTTATTATTCCGTTTGTTGTCTGTACTCATCCCAGCTGAGGAGATACTAAAAAAAAATTGAGCTTGGGGGTGTGTCTGTGGATGCATTTTACTGTTCTAGCAACAGAGGCCATGACACCACAGTGATTTCCAAAAAAGTCAAAAACTTCAATAAACTGGTAGAAAACGAGATCATTTATTGAATTTAGGTATTGCATTCATTCAGTGGCATCACGTAGCCTCACTTTTATCTTCCTCATCAACTTTGAAAACGTAATTTAAAGCCAATGTTATATTCAAATCGTTCCCAAAATTTTACAGATTTATCTCGAATTAAATCAATATAATTTTATTTGTTAACGTTTTGAGAGTTTTTGAAAAGGTACATTGAGGTTAGGGCGACGTCACGACATCCATTGATTTCCTTCTTTTACTGTTAACGCTAGACCAACAATTGAAATAGGCGGAACAACCAAACGTAAACAATGGCTTTAAACGAAAATTCCTCAAGAATCAAACCACTCCCACGCAACCTAACCATCCCATTCAATTAAGGAACTTTGCTCAATCAGATGCAATGATGTCAGTTATTGAACTGACAAGCAGGGTCAGCTTCCAAAACTATATGCCCTACTAATTGTGTTTCCGTCGCAAATTAGATCAGATCTCAGAGTAAATCAGAGTAAATCTGAGCAACTCTGAGTAACAGAGGCACTCAAATGAAAGCCGTCCTCCACCATCGATATTTGCCATCACAGGTTGTGGGTTTTGCAGAGCAGAGATTTTCACTGGGGATCATTACTATAGTCTCTATATTCATAGTCTGGCGGATAGAATCTCGGGAGTCAATTGAGCTGTCAAATAGCGGAACCAATCGAGCAAATCACGACCAACAACAGCTATTGTGAACAAAACTTCGGAACCCGTTTTCTCGTGACTCAAGACTCGCCTACGCAAATTAATACCATCTTTGGGTTGGGGAAAGTTTCCCCTATCCGATGATGCTGGTGATTTGCGTTCGATTGGCGAGGAAAGAATAATCAAAGTTTTGTTTATGAAAGTTGATAGTACCTTTTCAATTGTTGGTCTACAATATATTGAATTGGTTCCGCTTTTTGATAGATCGAAATTCTATCCACCAGACTATGAATATAGCGACTATAATCATTACTTGTCTTCAGTTTGCCCCAGGGGGCTGGCATCCCTATATCAAACCAGTACGATTGACAGAAGGCAGCATCACGAGCACGGTAGCATTGGGCGATCTTGTCAAAATAATCGATCTATTTTTTAAAAATTATCGATTTATCGACTAAATCGACCCTTTTGAATCGATCTGTTTGAACCGATTTAATTTTTTTTTCTCCAAGTCCTGCAGGGTGTCTTTGGGGTTTGTTGAAGATTTTTTTTAATCATCTAAGAAAACTGCCTTGAGATTCCGACTCTAGATGGCAAGACCCACATAATTTTACTCTAAACACTCTAGAAATTAGCTACAGATAATCTTGAAATTCACTCTTAAATTCACTTCGAACTGCTAATAATTCCTTAAAATACACCTTAGAATTCATCTGAATCCTTTGGAATTTTCCTCAGAACTTTCTTAGTAGTATTATTAGTATTACTAGTATCTTGGTATTCCTCTTCCTGCTCAAGAATGCCTCAAAATATGCTTCAGAATTCTCATGGAATTCAACTTGAAATTCTCATTGGAAATGCATTGGAATAAGGCATGAAATTCCTTTCAGGCTCTCCTATGATTTCCCTAGGATATATCCTCTGAGTTTATGTAGAATACACATCGGAACTTCCATTGCATTATCTTCAGAAATCTCTTGAAATTAAAAGTCAGTCTTCAGAATTCTTTTAAATTTCTCCTGGTACGCTCCTCATAATTCAAGAAATCATGCCTCATTCTTCCGTTGTATTTCTCCTCAGGATTCACTAAGAATGCTCTCTGAATCTCTTTGGAATTATTTTCACATTTGCTTTGTAATTATGCTTAAAAATAATGGTTTGAATTTTCTTCTCACCTTGTAACTCTCATTAGAATTAAGTAGAAACTCTTATCGCTTGAATTGTTCTCAGAACTCCCTTAGAAATCTACTGACCATTTACCAGGAATCATAAGGTCCTCAGAATTACTTTGGAAGCATACCATCGAATTGGCTTGAAGTTCATCTCTAAATTAAAATGACATTCCAGTTAGGTTCGTCTTAGGATACTAGTTAGAATTCCCTTTAAGTTCGCCTACACTTCTTCAGAAACTATCGTGGTAATGTCATGTAATTCCAGATTCTTCAAGCCCGTGAACCTTGCAAATTTTCTGTGATCCATTATATTGATATTTGTTTTCAAATCTAGAATTTTGGCTAATTTTCAAGATCTGAAACTTAAATCTGCAGTTTGGATTATATTTTTTTAAGGTACAGGAATTGAACAGTTTCTTCAGCCCTACAAAATTTGCATATTTCAAAATCTGAGGAATCTGACTCATGATTTTGATTTTTTTAATCTCACATTATTAAAGATTCTGCAGATAATCCAATTTCAAACATTTGTCTAGAATCTCAATCAATCTTCATTGTCAGC